GATCGAAGAGATTGTGCAGGTTTGTGGTAGGAGATGCTGTCACAAAGGTAGGTGGGTCCCAAACCGTTCAGGGCTTTGTAGGTAATAACCTGCACCTTGAATTGGGACCAGAAAATGAATGGCAGTCAATGGAGCTCCTTAAACAGGAGGGTTGACAGCTCTCTGTACTTCGCCCCGGTTAGAAGTCTGGCTGCCGAGCGTTGGACTAATTGAAGTTTCCGGGCCGTCTTCAAGGGCAGCCCCACGTAGAGTGCATTGCAATCATCCAGTCTAGAGGTAACTAAGGCGTGGACCACCGTAGTCAAGTCAGGCTTCGTGAGGTATGGTCGCAACTGGCGCACAAGTTTTAATTGTGCAAAGGCCCTCCTGGCCACCTCCGACACTTGCGCATCAAGCGTCAGCGCTGAGTCCAGGAGGACCACCAAGCTGCGGACCTGCACCTTCAGGGCTAGTGAGACCCTGTCCAGCACAGGTTGCCACCCAATACCCCGGTCAGGCATTCGACTGACCTGGAGGAGCTCTGTCTTCAGCTTGTTTGCCCTCATCCAGGTCGACACAGCAGCCAGGCACCAAACTAATTCCACAATGTGGATGGGAGGTACGTCTAACAATGCAGACACTTCTTCAGAGACATTCTACTCTCGAAAAGTGGCTTTTAGTCTCAAGAGGACAGAGATATCTATTTATGCACACACATCTCAACTTCTGATATATTTAAATGTATTTCGATATCTCTGTGTGTCTCTATATGTATCTACACATATGCATTCATGGTGTACCTCCTAAAATACAGTCTTACAATTACAAGCGGCCCATTGATGGCAACCATACCGCTGAAAATAAGTTTGACACCTCTGATCCAAGTAAGATCAAGATCAAGGGATCAAGATTCTGTGTTGCATTGCCGCCTAGTGGAAAGGAGAAGAAACAAATGGAAAGATGTGACTGACTTGTATTTGGGAAGCAGCAGTGCAGCGATTACCCTAGATTCAAACAATCAAGGGTGATGACCATCTGCCCTGTATTTATTTATTATTTATTTACTGCATTTATATACCGTCCCTCTCAGCCTGCTGGCGACTCGGGACAGTTTACAGTTGGTACCAGGACCATAAAATACAATTTCAATATAATAAAACAATCGAATAATAAAACCATAACAGATTTGATAAAATCAATAAAAACAATAAAAACATGTATCATTAGGGTCTCCTCGTTAAAAACATCATCCAATTACACCATCAAACCATTCCATTTTCCTATGTCTGTTATACTCTATTTGCAAATGCCTAATTAAAAAGCCAAGTTTTACCTCTCTTCCGAATGTTAAACGGGAGGGGGCCGATCTGATGACCTTAGGGAGGGCGTTCCATAGCCGAGAGGCCACCACTGAGAAGGCCCTGTCTCTCATCCCTGCCAGCCATGCTTGTGATGAAGGTGGGACCGAGAGCAGGTTCTCCCCAGATGATCTTAAAGTCCTTAAAGTACTATACCACAATAATGAAATATTATTAGTAACTAGCCATCCCCTGCCACGCGTTGCTGTGGCCCAGCCTGGTGATCTGGAAAATAAAGTAATTAGATAGCGTTGGTTTCTAATGTATGTAATTTCTTTATGCTTGTGGGAAAACAGTATTTCTTGTTGTTTCTTTGTCAGTGTTGATGTGGAGATTGTCTGGTTTGCCTACTCTGGAACATGCAATGTATAATTGCCCTTCTTTAGGGGTCCCTATCAAATCTATGACATTATATCTCTCTGTGTGTAAAACATATCTATGGTTGGATGGCTCTTTGTCAGGAGGGCTTTTGATTACGTTTTCTTGCACTGGTGAAGGGAGTTGGACTGGATGGCCTTAAGTATTTTCTGTTGTGTGGGAAGTTTGCCCCAATTCTGTCATTTGTGGAGTTCAGAATGCTCTTTGATTGTAGGTGAACTGTGAATCCCAGTGACTACAATTCCCAAATATCAAGGTCTATTTCCCCCAAACTCCATCTGTGTTGATATTTGGGCGTATTGAGTGCTTGTGCCAAGTTTGGTCTAGATCCATCATTGTTTGAGTCCACAGTACTACAACTCCAAAACTCAAGGTCAATGCCCACCAAACCCTTCTAGTGTTTTCTGTTGGTCATGGGAGTCCTGTGTGTCATGTTTGGTTCAATGCCATAACTGATGGAGTTCAGAATACTCTTTGATTGTAGGTGAACTCTAAATCCCAGCAACTACAACTCCCAAATGATAAAATCAAAAAAATTTGAGTGAAGGGGATACATTGGGATGTTAGGTGTCTTGTGTCCAAATTTGGTGTCAATTCGTCCAGTGGTTTTTGAGTTCTGTTAATCCCACAAACGAACATTACATTTTTATTTATATAGATTAGCTTAGTGCTATATGATTATAGCACAATATATGATTAGCATAGTACCATATGATTCAAATTCTATTAGCATGACTTCAAGAATCTAATGTCTGATCATTCAGAAAAAATGTAGAAACTGTTCTGTGTTTTATTGGCATGCCATAGTCTGTAAATAAAGGTTCACGGTGCAGGTGTACATTGATATTTCATACAGTTCATTAGTTTTTAGTACCAGATAATGGTTGCTTACACCTACGTTGGCTTCATCTATACAAAAGCACTTCGAAACTAGATTCAAACCATGGTGGCCAGACAACAAACTCCCACAAAAGCATGCAAAACAAAGCCCTTAATATGCACCACTGCTCTGTAGTTTGTGTCATCACCATCCAGAATTCAAACTAGTTCCAGGATTTCCTATGTAATCATTGTCAGTGTAGATGGTATTTAAGGGGTGGGGACAACGGGGAATAAAAGGTACAGCTAAGAGGTCACCACCAGACATCAAGAAGTCAATCTTATCTTCCATTTCTACCTGTTCTCCAGTACAGTCATCTCTTTTCTGGAAGTTGATAAATGATAGAACAATATATAAACTTTTTATTGGAATTATGGATTATAAAGAATACTTTCTATAGATTGCTTTATGGTTATACTTTTATTCTTGAAATTGCATTTTTCTTCACATGTACATTTTCAGTGATTAAAAAGGGTAAACATAAAACATGTCTAGCAATACTCCATTTCATGCATAAAAGTACTGTATTTTTAAGATGACATTGGTTATAAGACACACACAAATTTCAATACCAGCAACAGGACAAAAACTTGATCTATACCTGAAATTCTAAGATTCATCTGGGTTTTAGAGCCGTTTATATGGAGAGAAAAAGTGCCCCTTTGAATCAAAGAATACAGTATATTAACAAATACAAAATGATCATGCACACAAAAATGCTCCACATATGATACTGTAAAGTGGATCTCTGCTGTATAAATTCAGGCGCTGTACTTGTAGCTATGGAATAAAGATGAAAAGGAAAACAGAACATAGGTACTAAACAGGAGCCCCCAGTGGTGCAGTGGGTTAAACCCTTGTGCCAGCAGGACTGAAGAATGAGAGATCGTAGATTCAAATCTGGGGACAGCGCGGATGAGCTCCCTCTGTCAGCTCCAGCTCCCTCTGTGGGGACATGAGAGAAGCCTCCCACAAGGATGATAAAACATCAAAAACATCCAGGCATCCCATGGGCAACGTCCTTGCAGACGGCCAATTCTCCATACCAGAAGCAAGTTGTAGTTTCTCAAGATACTCCTGACATGCTCCATAGCAGTGTTGATGCACCCCTTGCCAAACTACAACTCCTAGGACTCCATAGGAGTGTGGGTGCACCCCTTGTTAAACTACAACTCCCAGGACTACAAAGCAGTGTAGATGCACCCCTTGCCAAACTACAACTCCCAGGACTCCAAAGCAGTGTGGATGCACACCATGCCAAACTATAACTCCCAGGAATCCATAGCAGTGGGGACACACCCCTTGCGAAACTACAACTCCCAGGACTCCATAGGAGTGTGGGTGCACCCCTTGCCAAACGATAACTCTCAGAATTCCACAGCAGTGTGGATGCAGTATTTGTGAAACTGTAACTCCCAGGACTCCACAGCAGTGCGGATGCACCCCTTGCCAAACTACAACTCTCAGAACTCCAAAGCAATGTGGTGCACCCCTTGCTAAACAACAATTCCCAGGACTTTATAACAGTGTGAATGCACCCCTTGCCAAACTTTAACTCCCAGGACTCCACAGCAGTGTGGATGCACTGTTTGCAAAATTATAACTCCCAGAACTTCATAAAAGTGTGGATGCATCCCTTGGGAAACTACAGATTCCAAGGCCCCACAGCAGTGTGGATGCACTGTTTGTGAAACTATAACTCCCAGGACTCCATAGCAGTGTGGATACACACCATGGTAAACTACAACTCCCACGATTCCATAGCAGTGTGGATGCACCGCTCGTGAAACTATAACTCCCAGGACTCCATAGCAGTGTGGATACACACCATGGTAAGCTACAACTCCCACGATGACATAGCAGTGTGGATGCACCACTTGCCAAACTACAACTAACAGGACTCCATTGCATTAAGCAATGAAGACGTTCTTAATTAGTTTCAAGGGTTGCCACTGTTTATTTTCAATCCTGATCATATTTGATGCTATTGTAATGTTTGTATAGATTTTAAATTGCCTTGGGTTGCTTTTTAGTGAGCCGCGTTGAGTCTTTCTTGTTTTTAGAGAGAACAATAAGGATAGAAATAAAGAATAACAATGTAGATGCTCCCCTTTGACAAACTAAAACTCCCTGGATTCCAGAGTGGCCTCCAACTAACTTTAATTGCAGACACTCCTCCCAGCTGTTGCTTGATGGCAAGAAAGGGTTAAATAAGATTCCACACCATGTGGTAACTGCTTCTCAATGATTGGGTAGGAGGCGGGGGCGAGGCTCTGACATCACGCTTACGAAGGCCCGGATGGAAGCCGGCGCGATCCCAGGTGGGAAGAACCAGGAGCCGGAGAGGAAAGGTCTGGCGTTTCCGGGGGGCGGGGCTTCCGTCTCATCTCCGCCAATCCGAAGAGAACCGAGTCCTTCCAGCCTGATCGGGGGGCGTGGCTCAGCAGAGGAAAGGCTGCTTTTCTTGGAGGAGCCGCCGGGATCACTTTTCGGCGGAGGGATCCTTAACCGCGGGGAAAGCCTCCTATAGGAGCCGATGCCCCTGTCTTCTGAGGTATGTATGGCCCGGAAGAGGCGGATAGAGGGAAGGCCCATTGGATCAGGGCAAGATGTGTCCAGGAGGCCTTTCTCTTCTTTGGCATCTACAGCAGACATGGCAAACTTGGGCCCTCCAGGTGTTTTGGACTTCAACTCCCACCATTCCTAACAGTTAGGAATGGTGGGAGTTGAAGTCCAAAACACCTGGAGGGCCCAAGTTTGCCCATGCCTGATCTACACTAATACATCTGCCATGACTCAGTGCTATGGAATCCTGGGAGTTGTAGTTTTACATGTTCTTTGTCCTATGCTGCCCAGGAGGGCTGGTGCCTTACCAAACTACAAATCCCACCATCCCATGGCAATAAAAGCCATGGCAATAAAAGCACTGTCAAACTGCATTCATTCTAAGGTGGGGGATGCTACAGAAACGGCCCGCAGGCCAAATTCAACCCATCCAGGCCATTTCTCCAGCATTGAGGTTATCCGGAGTTTATTATTTATTATTATTATTATCTTTATTTGTCTGGAGCCCCTGTTGGCGCAGTGGGTTAAAGCCCTGTGCCAGCAGGACTGAAGACCGACAGGTCGCAGGTTCAAATCCGGGGAGAGGCGGATGAGCTCCCTCTATCAGCTCCAGCTCCTCCTGCGGGGACATGAGAGAAGCCTCCCACAAGGATGATAAAAACATCAAAATTATCCAGGCGTCCCCTGGGCAACGTCCTTGCAGACGGCCAATTCTCTCACAACAGGACACTCCTGACACAACAACAACAAAAAAAATCTTTATTTGTACCCCGCTAGCATCTTCCGAAGGACTCAATGCGGCTTACAAAGGCCAAGGCCTCAAAACACAACATAACAATACAACATCTAAAGCAAATTAAAAACAGTTAAAGCAATATTAAACAACAAGCAATAAACAATACATCAAGACACTATAAAACTGGGCCGGGCCAGAGTAATGGGTACAGGATTAAAAGTGCTGATGTGACAGGTGATATGTAAGGATTATAGGGTAAGTGCAGTGTGCAGTGTGCAGCAATCTTAGTTCTAATAAAGTGCTTCTGGGACTTGTTATTGGAGATTCCTATTCTGGAAAGGCACATCGGAACAGCCTAGGTCTTCAAGTTCTTTCTAAAGACTGCCAATGTAGGGGCCTGTCTAAGATCTTTGGGGAGGGTGTTCCAGAGTCGGGGGGCCACCACAGAAAAGGCCCTGTCTCGCGTCCCCACCAAACGCGCCTGCAACACAGGCGGAATCACGAGCAGGGCCTCTCCGGATGAACGAAGTGAGCGCGTGGGTTCATAAACGGAGATGCGGTCACAAAGGTAGGCATGGTCCCAAACCGTTCAGGGCTTTGTAGGTAAGCACCTGCAACTTAAATTGGGCTCGGAATAAATGGCAGCCAGTGGAGCTCCTTGAACAGGAGGGTTGACCTCTCTCTGTAAGGAGCCCCAGTTAACATCCTGGCTGCTGCACGTTGGACCAGTTGGAATTTCCGAGCCGTTTTCAAGGGCAGCCCCACGTAGAGCGCATTACAGTAGTCCAATCTAGAGGTGACCAAGGCATGGACCACCCCGGTCAGATCAGCCTTCGCGAGTTTTGGAGTTGGGTGCCATCTCTACGCAGATGACACCCAACTCTACTACTCATTTCCACCGAATTCCAAGGAAGCCTCCCAGATCTTGAACTAGTGTCTGACAGTTGTGATGGACTGGATGAGGGCTAATAGGTTGAAGTTTAATCCAGACAAAACAGAGGTTCTCCAGGCTAGTCGTGATCGGGGTATTGGGTGGCAACCTGTGCTTGATGGGATTACATTCCCCCTGAAGGCGCAGGTCCATAGTGTGGGGGTCCTCCTGAATTCAATGGTGTCACTTGATGCTCAGGTGTTGGCAGTGGTCAGGAGGACCTTTGCACAACACAAATTTGTGTGCCAGCTGCGACCATACCTTGTGAAGTATGACTTGGCCAGGGTGGTCCATACCTTGGTTACATCCAGACTGGACTATTGCAATGTGCTCTACATGGGGCTGCCCTTGAAGACAGCCCGGAAGTTTCAACTGGTACTGGAGCAAAGTATAGGGAGCATACAAGATCCCTATTGAAACAGCTTCATTGGCTGCCGATAAGTTGCCGAGCCAAATTCAAGGTGCAGGTCATGACCTATAAAGCCCTAAATAGTTTGGGCCCCGCCTATCTCATGATTGCTTGTGTGTTACTGTTGATTGTTTATTTTTTGTTTATGTGATTTATATTAATTGTATTGTATTGATTGTTTTGTTATTGCTTTTGTTTATTGATGTGCTGTGGGCTTGGCCTCATGTAAGCCGCACTGAGTCCCTTGGGGAGATGGTAGCGGGGTATAAATAAAGATTATTATTATTATTATTATTATTATTATTATTATTATCTCCTATGAACTGGCATGAACTCTAAGATCTTCTGAGGAGGTTCTCCTTTTGCTCCTACCACTGTCACAGGGACGGTTGGTGGGGATGAGAAAGAGGGCCTTCTCAGTGGTGGCCCCCCGCCTCTGGAACGCCCTCCCCAGGGAAATGAGACAGGCCCCATCTCTTGAAGACCTGGTGGTTTCAACAAGCCTTTGAGAATGACTAGTTCTAGCTCAGCCTTAGACATTGTTGAATATTTACCCAGGTCACTTCCTCTAATAGGCCCCGGAAATGAACAGCCACAGACCCGTACCTATTATTGTTGTTGCCTGCTATAGCACTGCACTTCATTCCCGGGCCCCCTATAATTTTTGAGCTTGCACTAATCTCGGCCCGGCCTTTTAAATTGCCTTGAATAGGCGGGATTACATTTAATATATATGTGTTATGGCGACAATTTTTATGCTTATATTGTTTTGTTAATCTTATGGTTATGTTATTTACTCTGTAGGTATTGATGATGTTACTTGGAAACCGCTCTGAGTCCCCTCGGGGAGATAGAACGATATATAAATAAAGTTTTATTATTATTTATTATTATTATTGAGCCATGACAGTGAAAGTACTATCAAACAGCATTTACCCTAAGGCAGGAGGTTATAGAGAAAAGGCCTGCAGGCCATATTTGGCCCACCAGGGCCATTTCCCTAGCCCCTCCCTTAATTTACAAATTGATATGCTTCTATTTTCAATTTACATATTCATAAATAACAGTGAAACAAACCTATATCCATGTATATATGCACCAACTGAGATAAAACTTCCTAACATTTCTATACAATAGTCGTGTTTGTTTATGCACTCCCCTCCTCCCACCCCATCCAATTTAGTGACTTCCTGTCCCTTGGGTTGGAGACATTAATAGAATAATAGAATTGGAAGAGACCACGTAGGCCATCTAGTCCAACCCCTTGCCATGCAGGAAAAGAGCATTATCAAAGTATCCCTGACAGATGACCATCCAGCTTCTGTTTAGATTAGAAGTTTCCAAGGAAGGAGTTTCCACCACACTCCAAGGCAGAGAGTTCCACTGCTGAACAGCTCCTATAGTCAGGAAGTTCTTCCTAATATTCAGCTGGAATCTCCTTTCTTGCAATTTGAACCCATTGCTCTGAATCCTAGTTTCCAGTGCAGCAGAAAACAAGTCTGCGCCCGCTTCCTTATGACACACTCTCACTTATTTATACATGGTTATCATATCTCCTCTCAACTTTATCTTCTGCAGGGTAAACATAATTCAGTTCTTTAAGATGCTCCTCATAGGGATTCATGGTCTTCAGACCTTTGATCATTTTAGTTACCATCCTCTGGACACCTTCCAGCTTTTCAATATCTCTTTTGATCAGTGGTACCCACAACTGGACACAGTATTCATTTTCATATAGTATGTCAAAATGCTCCAGATTACATGTTTTTGAATGTTGTGATGCTTAAAAACCATTCCAAAATGCAGACATAAATGCAAATCCTGGTATGAAATGTATTTATTCATACATATTTTTTTCAAGAAAATGTGTTTTAAAATAGATTTTTTAAAAAAAAGATCAGAGGCAATCATTATTGGATATATGTATTATATACAAAAATATGATAATCTGAATAAACACATCATTTCTGTAATTAAAAAACCCCCCAAAACTACTTTTTATACCTGAGAGAACAATTCTTTAGGCATCTCTAGATCCTCCAGTGCCGATTTCTGCTGAGCGTCTGGTGGAAGGTGACTATAGAATTGCTTTGGAGGACCTACAAATATCCTAGAGAAGTGTTCTCCTTTGGAATCTATAGGTTGTCTGGCACCGCCTCTGACTGGAGTGGAGTACCTAAAGAGTTTTAGACAGTACATATTGCTCAAATCTGTGAATATGAAATCAGATCCACAAATGTCAAACCCACAAATTTGGAGGGTTGACTATGTATCTCAGGACTGATTGTTGAATATGATATTGACTACTTCTTGTGTGTTCGCTGTGCTTGTACACATTTGTGAGGGTTTTTGTCCCCGTGTTCCATTCTGATTTGGTACAGTAATCCTGCCTACGTAAATACTCTGAAGGCATGAGGCCTTTTTCAGATCTTGCGAAGCTAAGCATGATCAGATCTGGTTAGTATTTGTGTGGGAGACCAGGAACAAATCCCAGGTGCTGTGGGCTATATAGTTCAGAGGAAGGAAATAAGAATTGAGTAAACCTTGCTAAAGTCAATGTTATGAAATAAAAAGATTATTCCAGGTCACACACATGATTCTTATTAATCCAGAGCACAGATCAAGGGCATAACTCCTTGGTTAGAGTGGTAAATTGATGAAAGTAGGCTTCCAATTCAACTTCCAAGCAACTTTTTTTTTTTTTTTTACCATAGTAGCAACAGAAAACCCTTTGTCTCCTTGCTCAGGCTGGTGAAATCCAGAATGCCTGGGGATTGGGGACGTGCAATTGTATGCAAAAGGATTTGTTCTGGCTTTGGAAACAAATTCCTGGGTTGTGCATGTGCCCAGAACAGCCTAATTCTGGGTTTTGAGTCACTATTTCGTACCTGGTTTTTGGTAGTAAATAATACTATAATTAAATAAACTTATAACCACTTCCATTGTAACTAACATTGCTATCAAATGCATGCTGTCTTGGTGTGCTTTGGGATGAGGATTTTACTATGCAGTTGCCTGCTGCATTCATAGGTTTTTTCTAATCTTTTCAATCTGCAACTCTTCTCATTTTTCCTGCTTCTTCTTCAGTCCTTTCATTCACCAGAGACACTACACATTCAGGAAGAAAAGATGACTAGCCCCACAGGTAGAAATAGGTCCCATTAAATGCCCTAAAAGCATCAGATCTAATCCTATCTCATTTTGGTTACTAAGCAGGATCATCCCTAGTTAGTATTTGGATGGGAGACTACCAAGGAATATTAAGTGCTGTATTTCTGTGGAGGGAACTGGCAAAGCCATATCTGAGTATTCCTTGCCTCAGAAACCCTATGAAACGTATGGGATTGCCATAAGTTGACAACCAATTTAAACACACATTTTGATGAGGCTTTTTTTCTTGTTACAGTGTTTGAATTTGCAAACATAATTGAAGAAATCACTGATCTTATCTTTGCAATGGCTAAAGTAGTTAACTAGATAGAGATTTGAGATCTTGTGATATTCAACTATTGCTTTGGTACTGAGTACTAACATTAAATGAATCTGATTCTTTGAGGTTTTCAGCTGCACCTACCTAGGACTAAATCTTATTTAATACAGTGGTGATGTTGACTAAGGGCCCTTGCAGGCAGGCCCTATATTCTATGATATGATCCCAGGTTTTCCGTTTTAAACAGGATTATATGAGTCCGCACTGCTACATAATCTGGGATAAACAGAAAACCTGGGATCAGATCCTGGGATATAGGGATTGTCTGGTTTGGCCCTGTTGATATCTAGACAATTTCACTGGTTATATATTGAAAATAAGGTAATTAATGTAGTCCTGAAGGCACACTATGTGCCTTAAACAAGCACCGCATTTCATGAAGAAATGGGAATCATGTTTCTTTAACTTGTATACAAGTTGTCAAAAGATGTAGTGTAAATTAATACATTTTGCAAAAAGCTGAAATGAGCCTTAATTATCAGAAATCTTCTCACTGTTTAAATATGTGTTCTTTATCACTTACTTTTGTTTTTGTTATTTATTAAAGCTCTCCCCTGCCATGCGTTGCCGTGGCCCACATGGGGGTTCTGTGTGGGAGGTTTGGCCCAATTGTATCATCGGTGGGATTCAGAATGCTCTTTGATTGTAGGTGAACTATAAATCCCAGCAACTACAACTTCCAAGGTCAATTTTCCCCAAACTCCACCAGTGTTCACATTAGGGCATATTGAGTATTTGTGCCAAGTTTGGTCCAGATCCATCATTTGAGTCTCTGGATGTAGGTGAACTACAACTCCAAAACTCAAGATCAATAGCCACCAAACTCCTCCAGTATTTTATGTTGGTCATGGGAGTTATGTGTGCCAAGTTTGGTTCAATTCCATCGTTGGTAGAGTTCAGAATGCACTATGAATCCCAGCAACTACAACTCCCAAATGACAAAATCAATTTTTTTGAGTGATGGTCACTCCTTGGGGGAGTAGGTGTCTTGCGTCCCAATTTGGTGTCAATTCGTCCAGTGGTTTTTGAGTTCTGTTAATCCCATAAACGAACATTACATTTTTATTTATATAGATTTTCCAAACTGTCCACTTGTGAAAGATAAGATATTTGGGTTGGCTATATGAGCAGAATGATATATTACTCTTCTATGCTCATGGATGCCATTTGAAGCCTATTCTTCTTTTTCTCCTCCTTCTTGTGATCTTTTCCTAATCATTCCTGTATTTGTTTTTAAGATGGACCCGGTGCTGAAAGCCTTTGTTTGTGGTTCCATCAGTGGGACGTGCTCTACCCTGCTGTTCCAGCCTCTAGACCTGCTTAAAACTAGATTACAGACCCTTCAACCTGCTGTCAATGGGTAAGTAGCTGCCATTTCCTTTAATGAATTGTATATTCTTGGTCCAGAGGCGACATTTGGATTGGAGACCAAGTGGAGGTGGAAGAGAGTGTAATATTGACCTTTCTATACTAAGGTAAAGACATATATTACAAGATCATGGTAATGAAAGAATATATATATATATATATATATATGCGCCAATCTCAATATTTTAACTAATGCAATTTACTGAGAGTGAGTAGCTAATAGAATTAATGTGTTGTTGAAGGCTTTCATGGCTGGAATAACATGGCTGTATGACAATGTTCCAGTAGCATTATCTCTTGACCTTTCGTCTGCATCTGTGGCTGGCATCTAGATGCTACATAAGGGCCACCAAACACAGTGCTCAGACATGTATCAAAGAACATGAAAGACATTGCAGACTAATTCAGCCAGAGAAGTCAGCTATAGCAGAGCACTTGATAAACCAATCTGGACACGGCATATTATTTGAGAACAAAGAAATGTTGGACCACGCTGACAACCATAATGTTACAGACTACAGAGAAAAGCCATTGAAATCCACAAGCATGTGAACAATTTCAACAGAAAGGAGGAAATTATGAAAATGAACAAAATCTAGTTACCAGTATTAAGAAACACCAGAATCATGGCAGTAAATAAAGAATACCATTCAAAACAGGGGAACTTTAGACAGCAAACAATCCATTTGTTGGTTAACACCTCCCAAACAGAAGACACCTTCAGGCAACAACAGCCAGGGTATCTTTATGCCAGTGGTTCTTAACCTGTGGGTCCCCAGGTGTTTTGGCCTACAATTCCCAGAAATCCCAGCCAGTTTACCAGCTGTTACAATTTCTGAGAGTTGAAGGCCAAAACATCTGGGGTTGAGAACCACTGCTCTATGCAGATTGCCAACTGCAACATTCACACTTGCTTTTCAGTTCTCCCACCCTGGACATTCACAGATACACACACTCCACTTGCCTCACCTCCAACAGACCTCTGAGGATGCTTGCCACAGGTCCAGGCAAAACGTCAGGAGAGAATGCTGCTGGAACATGGCCACACAGTCCGAAAAACTCACATCAACCCAGTAATCAGGATTATACACAATATGCAGGAGATTGTAATAGATTATCTATGTATCTCCTGGCTCTCATTGAAGACCTACAGTAATTGTATATAAATGCATATTTTGGTTGTTAAGTTTGCAATGTTTGGAATATTTACTTGGAGAAGTGGTGAGTAATGGAAGTATATAAACTTTATTCCCGCTGTGAAAAAAGCAGAAAGGGAGAAGTTTGTCCCTCTCTTAGTGCTGGAATTTAGGATCCTCCATTGAAGCTGAATCAGAAGATTCAGGATGAATGAAAGGAAATACATTTCTAAACAGCACATAGTTTCAATATATAATTCATTGTCACAAAATGTAGTGTTGCCTGACAATTTGTTTGGCTTTAGAAAGGGGGCTAAGGACATAAGGCTGTCTCTGATTACTAGTTGGGATGACCATGGCCCCTTCTACACTGCCTTATAAAATCCAGATTATCTGCTTTGAACTGGATTATATAGCAGTGTAGAAGGACCCTATGTCTTGCCTCTGGTGATAGAGGCCATATGTCTCTATATCTCAACTGCTGAGGAACAGGGAACTGATTGGCCTCTCTGTATACAGTCTATACATCTTTGGTCTGATCCAGAATGATTCTGCTTCTGTTCACAGTGTAATTGCTGGAAGAAGAATCCAGATCCTAATTTGAGTCCACTGAGAACCAAGACACAGAAGTGATTCTTAGGACTGTGAATATAACACGTGTCAGAATAGTAGATTTATGAACTTGTCTCTAAAGGGATTTTATTCAAAGATGGAACTAGAATGGCACTAGAATGAATTTCCTGGTTTTGGGTTGATTGAGTTGCCTATTGATTTTGAATCTGTTTTTTATTTCAGGTCAGGTCGAGTTGGGTTGGTAACTCTGCTCTTTAAGGTTGTTCGCACCGAAAGTATACTGGGGTTGTGGAAAGGCGTTTCTCCTGTAAGTTGCTTCAATCACAGTGATTCTTTTATGTTGGACTTGCTAGAAGTAGAGAAGATAGGGATATAAAAGTTTTAAATAAGTAAATAAATACTAAATATTGAAACAATGACATTTTAAAATATTGTTTATAGGGATTCCTTATTGATTTTTGCTTCCTGGCATGGTGTGATTGTTATATTTTGTACACTTTTTTGTGTTCTTCATACAATAGTTAAGAGCTAGCTTTTCTCCCTGACTCCTACCCTGTGACCCTGTAGGAAAGTGCAAGTATAATTTTATATAGGTGCTCTTTTTTCCATAAGATGTAAGCCTAAATATATTGCAAAACCATTGTGGACCTGTCCTCAATACGTACCGTATATCCTCAAGCATAAACTGAGTTTTTCAACCTTTTTTTTAGGCTGGAAAAAGCCCCCCCCCCCCGGTCTTATACTCGAGTCAAAGTTATTTTTCATTTTACTGTGTAATCATTATTATTTTTATTACATTTACTATTTTACTCTATTTATTATTATTATTATTATTATTATTATTATTATTATTACATTTACATTATTTTACTCTATTATTATTATTTTATTATATTTATTGTTTTATTATTACATTTATTATTCTACTCTATTCATTATTATTTTTATTACATTTATTATTTTACTCTATTATTATTATTATTATTATTATTATTATTATTATGTTTCCAATATTTTAATCTATTATTTTTATTACATTTATTATTTTACTCTATTATTATTGGAAGGATATGTACATTTACATTGAAGAAGGTTAGAATAATGATTTAATCAGAGTTGGACAGTCTTATCTTAAATTACAGTTTTATGTAAATACTAGCCATCCCCTTCCATGCATTGCTGTGGCCCAGTCTGTGTATGTTTTTGTGTGTGTGTATATGTGTATATATGTGTGTTTGTGTATATATGTGGTTTTGAGCATGCATTGTAATGTATTTTTTGGGCTTTTATAGTATCTTCTGCTGTGTTTTTCAGTGTTTTTATGAGTGATGGTCACTTATTGGCCTGATATATGTATTGTGTCCAAATTTGGTGTCAATTTGTCCAGTGGTTTTTGAGTTATGTTAATCCCACAAACGAACATTACATTTTTATTTATATAGTCAAAAACATTTAACCTACTGATGCCTCAATTAATGTAATTTTATTGGTATCTATTTTTATTTTGAAATTTACCAGTAGCTGCTGCATTTCCCACCCTTGGCTTATACTCGAGTCAATACGTTTTCCCAGTTTTTTGTGGTAAAATTAGGTGCCTTGGCTTATATTTGGGTCATCTTATACTGGAGTATATACAGTATGTTAAAAAAGCTATATTTGAAAATAGGTGATGTTTTATACCTACTACTGCTCCAATAGCCCTGGTTAGCTTCTATTATCCCTGACTATTGGAAGTTCTGGGCAGCCTTTATGGGAATTGTAATACAAAATTACATTAAATTGCCAATCTTGTAGTTTCTTCTGTTGTCTCTATTGTTCATAATTTCTTCTTTTGCTTGTCATCTTTTCACAGTCCTTTGCAAGATGTATTCCTGGTGTGGGGATTTACTTCAGTACTTTATATATGATAAAACAGCATTTTCTGCTGGATCGCTCCCCTACGGCACTGGAGTCTGTTTTTCTGGGTGGAACCTCGCGCACAGTCGCTGTTGTTTGTATGTTGCCTATCACCGTGGTGAAAACACGGTACGAGGTGAGCCTCTGTTGCCTTTTTAAAATCCCGGATTTTTAATAATACTATGCTTTGAATGCATGCTTAAAGATTACTTTTTGCTGATCTTTTACAAATTATGTCTTAAGTGTATACTATAGCTGTGCAATTTCACATATGTGCTTTGTTCCAGAGCGGACGGTATGGTTATGAAAGCGTACAAGGTGCCCTCCGAAATATCTATCGATCGGAAGGCATTCAGGGCTTGTTTAGTGGCCTGGCAGCAACACTCCTCCGTGATGCACCTTTCTCTGGCATCTATCTGATGTTCTACGTACAGACCAAAAAGATAGCTCCGTATGGTAAGGGCGGTTGCAGTGTTGTCTTCTCAATTGCAAAGTCTGGCTTCAATGAGAAATGTGATGTATTTCAGAGTCTATCATACTGGACTGTGGACCATACTGGATAGGGCTGGTAGGACTTGGAGCTGTATATTCCCCACCCAGAGTTCAAATGAATTACTGAAAGTTTTTTTAAAGGATTAAAATTAGGCTTATGCTTAAAGGGAAATGTAATTTTTTTACAAGTATTTATTTTTATGGTTATTTACATTTTACATGTTACAGAAAACAGTTGAATTTTCCAATGCATTCTATCAAGTATAGTCTAGATTAGGGCTTCTTAAACTTTTCCCATTCATGACCCATCCACTGCTTTTGTGCAGAGTCCACTGAAAACCCTGCATGTTGTTGCTAACAGATTTGTGTAAATAGGTGGCGTTCAGAAGCTTTTCATTGTTGCCAAGTTTTGTGGCCTCAACATTAAGCGAAGGGGACTCTATTGGGGGCCAGGACTCACATTTTATGAAACAATGTTTTAGATTATATACTTAATCTATATCCATAATAAAAGTGAAAATTTGTATGTATGTGTGTGGCTAGGGTGCCCACTTCCACAGACAGGCTCCCACTCCCACAAACAGCTTTAATCCACAGTGCTGAGGGACCAAAAGTCCTCCCTCCAGTGACATTTCAGGTTATAGTGAGCACCATGAATATGTAGCCCAACCCCTGCCAATTTCCTCCTCAAACACCATACTGCTCACCACCCAAGGATTGCTTTCATTCGGGGACAAATTCGTCCTAGATTTTACATGTTTCTTCCACCACAGACATCCCAGTGTTCCTTCCTCTCTCCATTGGGGTGGAATTTGCATGATCCCACCCACTGCCTCTCCCTTAACACTTACTTATTCTTTTCAATTCTGTCTGCACAACAAACTAATCAGCAACCAAACATACTGGAGGAGTTTGGGGGATTGACTCCACATGATGTAAGTTGTAGTTCACCTGCATCATGTCAGAGCACTGTGACCCCCACTGACACCTGGACTGCATTTGGCACACAGAACTCCCATGACCAAAGAAAAATACTAGAGAGGTTAGGGGGGAATTCACCTTGATTTATAGCCATTGTAATTATTGGGATTTATAGTTCACCTGCAATCAAAGAGCACTCTGAACCCCACCAGCCCTGGATCAAAGTTGGGACACAGAACCATCATGGCTAACTGAAAATACTGGAGGGGTTTTGGGGGAACTGACCTTCATTTCTGGAAGTTTCTGGAAGTTGTAGTTCACTTACATCCAGAGACACTTTGACCACCACCAATGACAGATCTGGACCAAACTTAGCACACAGAACCCCCAACTGAACCTGCTGGAGGTATTTGAGGGGACTGACCCACCATGGTGGGAGCTGTAGTTTATCCTGCAGTCAGAGATCACACTGAACCCCACCAATGATGCATCTTGAGCAAACTTGTCCAACATGAGTAGTTTCAGGGGATTAACCTGGCATGATGTGAGTTGTAGTTCACCCACAACCTTATGAATTTAGTAAAATCAAAAAATAACTTTTTCAAATAACCCGGGCAACACTGGGTACCCAAGCTAGTCAGTTAATGAAAATGGAAAAATTGAAATTGGATTCAAAGTGGCTTATAATTTAAAAGGATAACGCAGATTAAAACTTATATGAGCAGTGAGCATTAAAAGGGAGTTAAGTTCTTGATAGTATCAAAACCCTTCAAACTTCAGGGTCAGCCACTGAGAAGGCCCTCTCTTGCATCCTCACCAAATGTACTTGTGATGGTGGTGGAACTGAGAAAAGAATCTCAGGGCTTGGTAGAAGCCAGGCCAGGCCAGTTCATACAGGGAGATGTGGTTTGCTAGACAGTCTGGACCTAAATCAAATAGGGCTTCAAAACTTTTAATTGTGCCTGGGGAAAAAATGACAGCCAGTGAAGCTATTTTAATAGGCTTGTAAAGTACACAACCTGTTTAACAGGGTTTTAACATAGTCTCTGTAATCTACCCCAGTTATCAATCTGGCTGCAGCTCTTTGTGCCAGCTGAAGTTTCTGAATACTCTTCAAATGTAGCCCCAAGTACAATGTGACACAATAATCCAAATGCAATGTCATTAAGACATGTACCACTGTGGCCAATATCTCAAGGAACGGGTGCAAGTGGACCACAAACTTAAAATGTGCAAAGCCGTTTTGACATTGCAGGAATGACTACCACATGAGAGAAGAAGGGATAGATTGATTTTCAGTATTTGTAAGGCAAGAATTTCAATTAGAGGAAATTTGTTAAGGTCACTGGTGTAGATAATTTCAGATCTTTGTGACATCCATGGCTTTATAAGTTCCCTGTGTCTGTAATAGAGACATATGCATGATGGAAAATTAGTATTGTGAACTGCTGTTTTCAAAACACAGATTCTTGGGTTAGGTAGTTTTTCCTGTTTCTCTTCTTGCTATATATTTGTGTTCCTGTCACTTTGGAAACTTTTAGCTCTTGTCTTAGGCATCCTTACTTGTGTGTAAGCTTTAATCAGTGCACGTGGACATATGATTGCAACTTTATTCTGCAGGAGAAAAAAAACTCCCATCTTCAAAGTATATGAATTCACCAGTTGAGTAATTTATTTAGCTTGTTATCTGCTTAGATTATCGTTGGAATAATAAAAGGTCCAAGAGAGTCCAGCACAATGCATTCCCCGAGTCAGCACTGAGATAATGGCATAGTAAAGTTGGATGTCATTGGAGCTGGCTTAATAGGCACATCTTATCTTGTGTGTGTGTGTGATGTAATAATGTCATAATACTCACTAGCTATTAGAAGTTAATTGAAAGGTATGTGCCAGTGTGGAACATTATGTAATATGGAAGCTATGCTGAAACTAGAAAAGCATTAGAATAGAGATAGATGTCAAAAGGTCAGAAGGAGGCCCATTTAGCTTGAAGGAAGATATAAATCTTTGAAAAACTGGGGGTAGAATGCTGCTCTGATGTCCTTTCTTACTTGAAAACATGGCTATGAGGTTAGACTTAACCATGGAAATAATTAAGAAATGTGGTATATGCAAACAGGTATGCAATCTTATTAAATGTACATCAAGGGAATGTTTTCATTTGAATTTTTCAGTTGAGTTTTATATATAAGTCACTGAAATGTCATGGTTCTCCTTTTCTCCTAGCAAAAGCTAATTTTGAAATGCTGGCTCTTATTTTTCTGTTTGCTCACTCATTTCCAGACCAAGTTGATCCATCCCTTGTGCCTCTTGTGAACTTTGGCTGTGGAAGCATTGCTGGGATTCTGGCATCACTAGCTACTCAACCTGCTGACGTTATAAAGACCCATGTGCAACTGTCATCTGAAAAACACCTTCGAACAGGCCAAGCAATGGCCTTAATCTTCAGGGTAAGACTGGATTGGTTAGTTGGTTTCCTAAGACAGGTTTTATCCAGATTTCTTTCAATCCTTGTACTGAATGCAACTTTTTTCAACTTTATGAGATGGGTTAGGTGGGAATCATTTTCTGTAGAACAAGTGGGAAACCTCTCTCCAGATGTTGCTCTCAGTATTTCTCATTATTGCCTCTGTGAATGGGAATTGCACCCCAACAACTTCTAGCCTTCTGCTGTGTGAAAAACTCAGAAGTAAGATATAGTTTGGTTAGAATTTACAGGAATCAGGAAGTAAAACTTCAGTGCTGTCTTTTGTTCTTTCTAATAGTTTCATCCACTGCTTGTAGGCATTTGAGAATGATTGTTATACTAAATCATTCTGTTTCAGCACTATCTACACCAGTGTAGGAAAAATACGCAGTACTCCTGGTAATGTCAGACTAAATACAGGAAGATACTATGTTCTTTTTGTATAAAGTGCTTTGGCTGTTATAGCAGGCAGTTGCCAGAACACAATTCAATGACCAATAGAATTGCATGAGGCAGCAAAATTATAATACTTGTGTGTACAAACTTGTAGTTGTCATACATTTCTGAACAACTTGGTGTTGGGCGAGTGGGCTTATTAACAAAAGACCCTCCTCATGAATGTATAGCAGAATAACTTATTAGCAGCAGCGTGACCCGGCACCAGTAGCCCAAAATGACAAAAAGAGCAAAAACACACAGACCAGTGTTATCTCTTCCATAGGAGGCTGTTTGTAGTAAAATAATATGAGGTTGATGTAAGTTTTTCGGGCTGTATGGCCATGTTCCAGAAGCATTCTCTCCTGACGTTTATCCTGCATCTACGGCAGGCATTTTCAGAGGTTGAGAGACCTCACAACCTCTGAGGATGCTTGCCATAGATGCAGGATAAATGTCAGGAGAGAATGCTTCTGGAACATGAACACACATCCTGCAAAACTTACAGCAACCCAGTGATTCCAGCCATGAAAGCCTTAACAATACATAAAATAACATAGTTGCACTATTTACAATAGCAAGGTTTCCACAACGCAACCTTCACATTGGAGCTTCACACACAAGGCTTCGCTCACACAGAGGTTTACCTCACACTCCTCAGGACAACACTATCTTGGCCCGCTTACTCTAACAGGCTTTGACCAACTAACTCTTTCAGTGCTTGACTCACAGTTTTGTAATCAAAAATACCTAGTTAATTTTTAATATTTCTGACACTTGGATCACATTGAAACAGATCCCCGTCCTTTGGATTCAAAAAGATAATATAATGCTTAAAAACATATGTAGATTTAAAATAATTCCTTTCCTTTTCCTGATAGGTTAGACCTTAAGGTTAGGATGGAAGATAAGGATAATCTCTTAAACAAGAGGAAAAATATGTAGCAATAAGCTTTGAAATGGTTTGATGTTCTTACATCAGGGGTGTTTTGAGGGGACCACCCAAAGAACTAATTTTGAGTTGAGATCAATGGCCTTGATGTGCTATAGAATTATTGAAGAATTTGAATTATTGAAGAATTTGAAAGCTTGCTTCTTTTCCCAACAGGACTATGGATTGACTGGTTTTTTCCGTGGTGCCGTCCCAAGGGCCTTGCGGCGCACACTGATGGCAGCAATGGCATGGACTGTATATGAACAGATGATGTCTAAAATGGGGTTGAAATCCTGAATGGGCGACTTGGACTGGAGGAGTTTGTTTGAAGAAGACTGTTTGCTCTTCTGGTCACTATGATTTCCTGGCATTCACTACCTGGGAGCTGACTTATTCTCATAGATATGGAAACACTATAGATTCCTGAGATGAAGAACCAGGGACTTCAGGTGTGTCAAGATGGGAGAATCATTCCAGGAAAACTTTATCTTAACTGACTTGGAAAAGCACACAACCTGTTGTGTGCAGGTCTAAATGAAGGCTCAACTCCTTCAGAGAAATGTATTTGGGAAGTCCTCCTCATCCAATTGTTCCGAGCAGCTTTTACAAAGAATCCAAAAACAAGAGTGTAGCTGAGACTTTTGATTCTAGCAAAGACATTACTTTCCGTGTGGCTTTCGTCTTCATAACTGTATCTGTCTGGCTATATCTTCAATGTGTATTTATTCTACATCCACAAAAAGGATATATAGGCGAGTCTTGCCAAGGATTACTGAAATGTCACTTTGTGCATTGATTGGTTACTACAGTGGTTTGTACACTGAGCTTTAAGAGTGAGTTAACCTTGTGCCTGACAGCAACACTATGGGAAATGATCACATTCCTTACAGCCGGACTGGGGATTGTGTGGCTCTGTAGATATTGGTGGACTGCATCTCCCATGATTCCGCATCATTTATTGTCCTGACTAGAGAGCTGCATGCTCCCTGTTCCTGTGTTATGGGAAACTATTAGTATGCTAAACACTTTGATATATAGGCACTTGATCTACATAAATGCTCTTTTTAAAGCACTTCTAAAGGTTTTTTGTCCTTTCATTTGTGCTTGAAATATACCTCTTTTTAACCATTTAAGCTGGCACAGATTCTTCTCAAGCTAAGGTATTATCTGTCTAAACCAGAAGAGCAGATGTTATTGGACATCTTTGACCATCAGCCCTGGTCAGCATCACCAATGGTCCTGACCCTTGAAGTTCTACTCCAATGTTTGGAAAGCCTTTCAAATGTCTCATTTCATGGACTATAAAAATGTTGCTGTCAGGCTGCTCATTAGCTGAGCATTGCTTCTTACTGTGCGTTCTTTACTCCAAGGATCAACCTTGGAGATTATGTTGTAGTATTATCGTTGTCTTAGGACAACCTGCAGATGTTCCCATCCTTCTCAGCCAAGCAAACCCATGGGCAAAGTGATGTGTGTGACAGCCTAGCATGTTTGAGGAAGGTTGTTTGAATATGAATGAGGACTATTAACACCTTTTCTGACTGTAAGTCCCAGCTAGCATTCAGTAGTTAACGAATAATGGACTTCACAGTGGAACAGCAGCTGGAGCACCACTCATTGAGCAAGGTTGTTCTAGAAGAATAGCTCGGAGTGGGCAAGAAATATAAAACAGAGGAAGAAAATCATTTGAAGTAATGACATGATTATAATTGTGTAGCAGGGCTTCCATGTTAGTGAGAAGCTTCCTTAATTTTCCCAAAGATGTGAGACTTGATGCCTAATTAGAGAACTTGAATATTTGAACCATGACTCCATTTGATTTCTGAGTGTCTTCAACCATCTCTTTTGTTATTAAAGCAACGGATATTTTTGAAAAAAAATTGCTTCGTTTTTATATCAAAGTTTCTTTCCCTCCTAGTTTTCTTCCTTCTCATTTTGGTTGGTGGTTCTGTAACTTGAAAACAAAATCTGATGTTCATTGTTAGGAGGCTCAAACATCAAAACACACATTGTTGTTTTTTAAATGGCTTTAAACAAATGGTTACAAAAGGTACAGAGTGAGGCAGCATAACTTCCTTTTTAAAAATGCGTGCCATTCAGTCGGTTGAAGACGTAGCGGAGCGCTAGTGGTCTCGTTCGAGAGGCGGGAGTATAAAGTTTTGTCCTGACACAGTTCAGTGCCATCATGCGTTGGAACAGTGAGGAGCGAGCTTTTGCCAATGAGGCCTACTTTTTGAGCGGATTTGGGGTGGCTGGCCCGCTCTCCAGATTTGGCTCCATGTGATTTTTTTCTATGGGGTTTTTTGATATCCCATGTTTATGGAACCCTACAAGATTTGAAGACCAACATCCAGGAAGAAATTGCCAACATAATGCCTGCTATTCGGGCAAGAGTCATGACAAATGCCAGAAATCGGTTTACTCAGTGTATGGAGAATGGGGGACGTCACCTACCTAATTTGATCTTCAAAACTACGTAAAACAAAACTTTAGGTATGCGCCTACATTATAAAAAAATTAAAAATTTCTGATTCATACAATGGGTTTTCTTAAGTTTTGAAAAAAGGAAGTTATGCTGCCTCACCCTGTATATCATTAGTTAGGATGGACATTTTGTTTAAACTTCTTTTAAAAGGCCAGTCCAAGGCCTTCATAAATGCACTTACATAAGTTAAAACTTTACACTTCGGATGGCTGCATCTGAATTATTTTCATATCTAGATGGACCTAAACTGCAGAAAATGTTCTTCGTTGTGGAATTGTGATAGGAATGTTACATTCAAATTGCATACTCAGGGAAGACAGGTGGTATTGCCCACATAGACTGCTGATAATTGGCACAAGAAGGGAGTTTGATAAAAATCACAACTTGTGAAAAAGAAAATGGTGCCAATTTTTCAGTTTTCCTTGAAATTCTTCTAAAGACCTTCAGTAAGACTTCAAACAAAGGAAAACCGAAAAAGCTACGTTCTTATATTCAACTCTTATTCAAAAACTAGAGAGACACACACATGAGGTCTTCTCAAAGGAGAGGATGCATCCTGAGAATTCCCTTCTGTGTCATCAATGGGATGGGAGGAGTGGCTTGTGAGTGAGAGAAGACAGACACAGAGCAATAGGCATTCAGGGATAACAGGAGAAGGGTTTCCCTTAGCCCAATGGTTCCTAAGTTTTGGGTCTCCAGGTGTTTTGGGCTTCAACTCTCAGAAGTCCCAGTCAACTTTCCAGTTGTTAGGAACTGTGGGAGCTAAAGTCCTAAACACTTGGAGGCCCAAAGGTTGGGAACCATTGCCTTAGCCCAACCTCTTTCCTGTTTAATTCACTGAGATTTGGGATACAACATAGAAAGAAAGGAAGGGGACCAACAACAAAGTGCCCTTTGTAGCCCTCTGAGCAGTAAGGCCACAGTCCTGAAAATGAATGTGCAAAGCTTATTGAGAGAGGGAATGACTCCTCATGCAAATAGCTAAAAGATGCAAGATTTTGAACTCCCACCATGAAATAGAGTCAGACACAAGAAAATGGATATAAAGGGCCATTTTCTGACCTATTTATTGAAATAACTTGTAATAACCTGTTGAGGGACAATCTGTAAAAATGCAAAATATAACTCATGGCTTAATGGCCACCTAGTGAGCCTAGTCCCTGGGCCAGGTATCACTCCCTCTGACCACCTCCAAGGACGTGTGTGCACCAAGGATCCCAAAGGCCAACCAAAATTCTTTGTCTACATCTCTCAGCCAATCGTAGTTGGAAGGCCATCCTGAGGGTGTTCCCTCCCAAACCTCAGAGTTTTTCAAGAGTGAGAACCTTCAATCCAGCCCCAAGGGTAACTCCCATTTTATGAAAACTTATGGGGACTTTTGTGGGAATCCAGCTGGCCCAAACCAAGTCTGCCTCCTTCATGGGGTCATTCAAACTGCCCCCCCCCCAACGCATCTTAAGCTTTGCTTGGCTGCGGATGGGGCGAGCCATTAGCAACAGCAACCTCCAGTGGCTACCTGAAGACATGTGTTTGTGGGCCAGCAAGTTGTGGCCCTCCAGCTATTGTCAGATTATAACTAGACAAGAGAATGGATGATGGGAGTTTTGTGCCAAATTCTGAAGGAATATGTCTACCCTGATTCTCACAAAAGACAAGGACAAAGGACGATCTGGATGAGGATGAACAAGCTGAGGATTAATCCCGACAAGACAGAAGTCCTCCAGGTCAGTCGCTCGTCTGACTGGGGTATTGGGTGGCAACCTGTACTGGATGGGGTTACACTCTCCCTGAAGTCACAGGTCTGCAGTTTGGGGGATCTCTTGGACTCAGCGCTGATGCTTGATACGCAGGTGTCGGCAGTGGCTGGGAAGGCCTTTGCACAATTAAAACTCGTGCACCAACTGCGACCATACCTCGTGAAGTCTGATTTGACCACGGTGGCCTTAGTTACCTCTATATTGGACTACTGCAATGCACTCTATGTGGGGCTACCCTTGAAGATGGCCCAGAAACTACAACTCGTACAATGCTCGGCAGACAGATTAATAACCGGGGTGAGTTACAGGGAGGGGTCAACCCCCCTGTTTAAGGAGCTTCACTGGCTGCCATTAATTTCCGCTCCCAATTCAAGGTGCAGGTTATCACTTATAAACCTAAACGGTTTGGGACCCACCTACCTTCGTGGCTGTATCTCTCTCCATGATCCAACCCGAGCTCTTCAATCTTTGAGGGAGTCTCTCCTTTTGCCGCTGCCAGTATCACAGTTCCGTTTTGTGGGCACAAGGGAGAGAGCCTTCTCCTCTGTGGCCCTCCTACTCTGGAACTCATCAGGAAAGCCTCCACCTTAGAAACCTTCAAGAAGGATCTCAAAACCTGGCTTTTCCATTGCGCCTTCAGAGAGTAGCCACACAACCATACACTCTTGCTCCCCTCAATGTTTTTGTTCTTGGAGTACACTTACCCCACTTGTATGAAGGCCTGTTTTTTACAACCCCGTTTCTTTATGAGCTCTCCCTCACAAATAATCTGCTCCTCTTTTATCTCACCCTGAGTTTTAGCATTTTATCTTGCACATGCGGCCCGCTGATTGTCATTGTGATTGTGGATATTGTATTTTAATATTGCTAACTGCATTCATATGTTTTATGTATTTTACTGTGTTGTCATTTGTGTCTTTGGTTTTTATTTTATTGTAATTTGTTAGTTTGGGCTTGGCCTCATCTAAGCTGCCCCGAGTCCCCGTTGGGGGAAATGGTGGTAGGGTATAAATAAAGTTTATTATGTACGCATATCTGGCAAAAACCCATGTCAGCGGTACAAGAAGATTTTTTTCTATCTCCATGCTCTCATGGTAAATTCCTAGTTACTCAACCACACAAGCAGACAGGACATAAGCACTTTGTTTGTCTTCAAGCTGCGAAGCCGTCAGAAGCAAATGTGCTGTATGATATGATGTAATGAAATGGTATTATAACACGCTTGAATTCCAGGATCACCCTTGACTATGTTTTACTGTTGCCTATGTGGATGTGGGAGACATGTTTACCCATCTCCTTTACGAAGTCCATATAGGAACAACTGAGTGAGGAACAACTGTCCTCTGAGATGAGTGGACTCCCTTCCTACCATTTTACCCTCTAGGTTCAAAGGTGATGGATATAGCTGCCTTCTCTGGACAACAATGGAACAAAACATAGTTCCATGTGCAGGTTATGTGCATTACACTTTTTATCATGAGTAGACACGAGCGTATCTTGCAGGGTTCTGGACTAGGGCCAGTGTTATTAATATTTATTTATAAATGACTTGTATGATGGAATAGAGGGCATGCTTATCAAATTAAGAGAGATCAGGATTAAAAATGACTAACAGATTAGAGAACTGGGCCAAAACAAACAAAATATGAAAAAAATCTAGAGTCTTCATAAACTACAATGTGAATATGAGTTAACCATGTGATGCAGCAGATAAAAATACCAATGTATAGTATCTAGATTGAGGGAAGTAATAGTCCCACTCTATTCTGCTTTTGTCAGACCTAATCTGGGCACCACAATTCAAGAAGGATGTTGTCAAGCTGAAAAGCGACCCGAGGAAGGTGATCAAAGTTGTAAAAGTGTCAGGAAACCATGCCCTAGGACAGTGGTTCTCAACCTTCCGAACGCTGCGACCCCGTAATACAGTTCCTCATGTTGTGGTGACCCTCAATCATAAAAATTATTGTTGTTGTTACTTCAGAACTACTATTATGAATTGTAATGTAAATATCTGATATGCAGGATGTATTCTCGTTCACTGGACCAAATTTGGCACAAATACTCAATATGCCTAAATTTGAATACCGGTGGAGTTGGGAAGGGGGATTGATTTTGATATTTGAGAGTTATAGTTGCTAGAATTTATAGTTCGCCTACAATCAAAGAGCATTCTGAGCTCCATCAACAATGGAATTGAACCAATCTTAGCACACAGACCTCCAATGACTCAAGAAACCTTGAGTTTGGGAATTGTAGTTCACATACATCCAGAGAGCATTGTGGACTCAAACAATGATAGATCTGGGCCAAACTTGGCACGAATAATCAATATGCCCAAATGTCAACACTAGTGGAGTTTGGGGAAAATAGGCCTTGACATTTGGGAGTTGTAGTTGCTGGGATTTATAGTTCACCTACAATCAAAGAGCATTCTGAACTCCGCCAATGATAGAATTGGGCCAAACTTCCTACACAGAACCCCCATGACCAACAGAAAATACTGTGGTTTTTGATGGTCTTTGGGGACCCCTCTGACACCCCTTTGTGACCCCCCCAGGGGTCCCGACCCCCAGGTTGAGAAACACTGCGCTAGGATGAGAGGTTTAGGGAGCAGGGGATATTTAACTTAAAGAGGAAG